CCCCCCCGATACGCCGGATGGTGGACCAGAATCGCCTTGAAGCCGTGCGGAAGTCTTTCTCCATGGCCTCTCCGAACTCCTCCCATGCCCAAGTTTTTGCCTCAGTGACCACCTGAGCCGCATGTCGCTTGGACTGCCTGTATCCATCAGCTGCTTCCAGGGTCCCACAGGCCAAAAAGGCCCAATAGGACTCCTTCTTCCTGCCTGACAGCATCCCTCACCGATGGTGTTCACCACCGGGTTCGAGGGTTGCCGCCGCGTCCGGCACCAACAACCTTGCGGCTGCAGCTCCGGTACAGGGGTCAAGGGGTCTCCATCCCGTATTTCTTAGAGACATGCTGCTCACTCCCTCACTATCCATCCTTCAGTTCAGCCGTATACTGCCATCCTGTGGTGTCAAATTTCAAACAATATTATCGTTTATCTCAATAATTTCTGAGACAATTAATCGCCCAGCAAAATTTGTTATCGTGACAGGCCTAAAAAAAAAAAAAACATCGTAATTTTGGAAATATTAACCACCTTTTTAACAAAAGTAAGTAGTGTAGTGAATCTTTATTCTCTAAGATGTGTGCTGTGTGTGGTTGTTTTTAGGCACAGTGACAGCAGCCAATGCCAGCACACTGAACGATGGGGCAGCTGCTCTTGTTTTAATGACAGCAGATGCTGCAAAGAGACTCAACGTCACTCCACTGGCCAGGATAGTCTGTGAGCAACACACAGGAAACTACTTGTTCTTATATGATTTGTTGGGGGGTTGTTCACATACTGATGCTGCATAATCTCTGTTCTCCTTATAGCATTTGCTGATGCTGCAGTAGCCCCCATAGATTTTCCTATTGCTCCTGCATACGCTATTCCAAAGGTGGGTAATGATGGAATTGGGCATTATTGTTACTAAGTTAAGCAACCTTAGCAAACACAAAAATGACTGTAACTCAGTCAGTTTTACAGCTATTGAGCTAAATTGTGGCTTGGCAGTAGCTGTTAGTATTATAATATACTCTTGAGAACCAACTGATCACACAAGATCTGTTTTGAAAAGTTTGCCATTAAGTATTCCTGACATATCTGTTGTCTGTTAGCAAAATATCTTCTGAACCACTGGACAGATTTTAGTAAAGCACTGAAAAAGTAACTTTTGGAGTCACCCCTCACACTTGAAACTTAAATTTCCCAAGTCAGATGTATAAAGTACTATCAGAGCTCATCCTCTGGATTTGTGTAATTGCTTGTTTTAGGTTCTGGATGCAGCCGGGCTGAATAAGGAAGACATCACCATGTGGGAGATCAACGAAGCCTTCAGCGTGGTGGTGCTGGCCAACATTAAAATGCTTGATATCGACCCAGCAAAAGTCAACATTAATGGAGGAGCTGTGTCTTTGGGACACCCAATTGGGTAAGCTGCTGTTAGGGATTTGTCAGTTAGACTGAAGGGAACCACAACGATGGGGACTGGAATTTTAAGGTGCAGGGATGGGATTTTTAAAAATCTTTTTATCTGGTTTGCTATTAAAGACACTGATGTCTTGAAATTAATGCAAATCATTGGAGAAAGTTTTAGGGGTGAAAGCTCTCATCTGCATTACAGTTAGCTTGGAAAGCTAAATTTGCTACTAGTTTATGAAAAAGTAGTTCCTTTTTTAAGAACCGATGCAGCTGTCTGTGGCATAAAAACATCTTGGAAGTAATAAAGCACGTGTAGCTTTAACAATACGGTAAATGGACTGTACCTGTATAACACCTTTCTATCTACTACACATTCATACAGCACTCTACTACATCTCTACAAAGGTAATCTGAAACTGTAAAGATTACCGTATTTTTCAGCCTATAAGTCACAGTTTTTTGCGTAATTTACATGCCCTGCTACTTATAGGCCAAAGCGACATATTTATGGATTTTTTTCCATATTTATAAACCATTTTTTGGCTGAGTTATGATCGTTTTCATTCATTCTGACTGAAAAAAATAATTGAGCAGTACCACTTTCAGTCACTTGATGGGAGCAGAGTAGTAATAGCAATATGGCATGCTGTTATAGGTAAAAGTGGCTATAATGATAAATTCAAAAAAGTTCAAGACAAAAACAACTGGACCATTTTTAAAATGCAGCTAATTTGACCATTAAAATGTATTTATTAAGCAAATGTTAGACTGAGACACCTTTGCTATAATTTCGAGCATACAAATAATTGTTTTTTTGGTGGTTATCTTGTTAAATTTTCACAGCGACTCGTCACATGCACGCGTTTACTTCTGCGTATCTGCTTTTGAAATACAGCTGATTTGACCGTCAAAGTGCATTTATTAAGCAAACATTAAAATGAGACACATTTACTATAATTTCCAGCAAACAAATAGTTTTTAGATGTTAATCTTGTTAAATTCTTGTTAAAGTTCTCCCGTGCACGGTCCCGCAGCCGCCATTTGGCAGCCCATCAATTTTTGGCACACCGGCCCACATTTCTGGGTTCAACCCACATTTCCGAGTTGTCAGCAGTGACGCGTAACAAACGTGACGTGTCAGCTGTGATGCATAATAAATGCGACGTATATGGCGAAGCCACATATTTATGAATTTTTCCACTTTATTAGACAAATATGGACTGATGCGACTTATAGGGCAGTACGGCGGAAAATACGGTAATCAGAGCTTTACATCACATTCATACACTGATGAGACACACATCAGAGGCAATGAGGGGTTCAATGTCTTGCCCAGGGACACTTCAACATGTGACTGCTGGTGGAATCAAACCCCCGACTCACCAAATGGAGGACAACCACTCTAACCACTCAGCCACAGCTGCTACTTTTAGTAGAGCGTTCATATATATTTGTATTAGAGCTGGACGACATCTCGATATTTTAAAAATATTGATATAATTTTTTTTACTATATAAAACCAGACCTTGTCCCTGGGCTGCCACCTTACCATGGTGGAGGGGTTTGAGTGTACCAATGATCGTAGGAGCTATGCTGTCAGGGGCTTCACACCCCTAGTAGGGTCACCCAAGGCAGACAGGTCCTAGGTGAGGAACCAGACAAAGTGCAGCCCAAGCACCCCTGTGATGAGCAAAATAAATGGACTCAAATGTTCCCTCGCCCGGACGTGGGTCACCGGGACCCCACTCTGGAGCCGGGCCTGGAGGTGGGGCACACTGGTGAGCGCCTGGTGGCTGGTCTTTTACCCATGTAGCTCAGCCGGGCACATCCCGAAGAGGAGGCGTGGGTCCCCCTTCCCATGGGCTCACCACCTGTGGGAGAGGCCAAAGGGGTCGGGTGCAATGTAGGATGGGTGGTGTCCAAGGGCAGGGACCTTGGCGGTCTGATCCTCGGCTACAGAAGCTGGCTATTGGGACATGGAATATCACCTCTCTTGTGGGAAAGGAGCCTGAGCTGGTGTGTGAGGTTGAGAGGTTCCGTCTAGAAATAGTCAGACTCCCCTCGAGGCATGGCTCTGGAACCAGTTTCCTTGAGAGGGGTTGGACACTTCCACTCTGGAGTTGTCCCTGGTGAGAGGTGCCGAGCAGGAGTGGGCATACTTGTTGCCCCCCATCTTGGTGCCTGTATGTTGGGGTTCACCCAGGGGAATGAGAGGGTAGCCTCCCTCTGCCTACGTGTGGGGAGACGAATTCTGACGGTCGTTTGTGCTTATGCACCAAACAGCAGTTCAGATTACCCACCCTTTTTGGAGTCCTTGGAGAGGGTACTAGAGAGTGCATCTCCTGGAGACTCCCTTGTTCTGCTGGGGGATTTCAATGCTCACGTGGGCAATGACAGTGAGACCAGGAAGGGTGTGGCTGGGAGGAACGTCCCCCCTGATCTGAACCCGTGTGGTGCTCTGTTGTTGGACTTCTGTGCTCGTCATGGATTGTCAATAACGAACACCATGTTCAAGCATAAGGGTGTCCTTATGTGCTCTTGGCACCAGGACACCCTAGGCCACAGTTCGATGACCGACTTTGTCGTCATCTCATCTGATCTGCGGCCACATGTCTTGGACACTCAGGTGAAGAGAGGGGCGGAGCTGTCCACTGATCACTACCTGGTGGTGAGTTGGCTCCGATGGTGGGGGAGGATGCCTGGCAGACCCAAACGTGTTGTGAGGGTTTGCTGGGAACGTCTGGCAGAGTCTCCTGTGAGACAGAGTTTTAACTCCCACCTCCAGGAGAACTTCAAACATGTTCCAGGGGAGGTAGAGGACATTGAGTCCGAGTGGGCCATGTTTTGTGCCTCTATTGTCGAGGCGGCTTACCGGAGCTGTGGCCAGGAGAGACAGACGAACACAGAATGGTAGGTCCAGGTATAGGTCCAGGTCCAGATATAGGTCCAGGTCCAGGTATAGGTCCAGGTCCAGATATAGGTCCAGGTCCAGGTATAGGTCCAGGTGTATCTGAAAGACAAAAAAACACATGTTAAGGATAGAAAAAATAATTACAAATACAAAACAGGTTGAGCAGAGTAAGTAAAGACAGCAGCAGGAGTGAAAATTGTGGTCAGTTTGTCCTCCAGCAGTCTAAGCCTATAGCAGCAGAACTAAGGGACAGCTCAGGAAACCCAAGCCGACCCTAACTATAGGATTTATCAAAAAGGGAAGTCTTAAGTCCAGTCTTAAAACTGGTTAATGTGTCAGCCTCACGGACAGAGATTGGAAGTTGGTTCCACAAGAGAGGAGCCTGAGAACTGAAAGATCTTCCTCCCATTCTGTTTTTGTAAATTCTAGGAACCACAAGTAAACCTGCAGCCTGAGAGTGAAGTGCTCTGTTAAAGTTAACAGTCTTGTTAGCCGCCAAGGACTGTCTTTATAGTTGTGATTATCCACCGCTTTATTAATGTGGCGCTACCTCCTCTCACTGTTGAGACTTGAAAATCTGTGTACAGTATTTGTTTTTCTGCCCGTCAAACTTCACGCAGCCTCCTCCTCCCTCGAACTGCTGCTTCACACACGCTTACTAATGTGAAGGCAGCGCGGCTGAAGAGGATTATTATTTAATATATGTAAATAGTTTATGTTTTACACATTTATTTTGTACAGTTACAGCTGTTTACTATATGTGCCTGTGTGACAACTGGGACAAAGCTTTGACTCAGAAATATATTTTTATTACTTTATGGAAAGAAAAAATAACAAGATATATATTGTATATCACCAATTTTCTTAAAATATCGAGATATTAATTTTTGTCCATTTTGCCCCGCCCTAATTAGTCTGAAAAATTAATAAAAAATTAATCAAACATAACATCAAAATCGATGTTAATGGTGCTGATGTGGTGAGGAAGCAATGGGCCCTGATGTCATACAAAATCTGCAGGGCAGAGAAGAGCAACTCACCTGGAACTGATTTTCTGATATGATGCACATCAGAAGATACAATTACAAGTATTTTACTCAATAATTACTGATAAAATAATAAAAATACATAATGTAAAAATACTCTATGTAACCCAAGTATTATTCGGCACACTTATTTGAAGAGCTATTCCGTCAGTCTTAAGTTGTCAATTAGACTTTCTCGTTTTTTGTTAGGATGTCTGGAGCAAGAATCGTTGGTCACATGGTGCACAACTTGAGATCGGGTCAGTTTGGACTCGCAGGGATCTGCAATGGAGGAGGTGGAGCGGCTTCCATTCTCATCCAGAAGTTGTAAGAAAAAAACGAAGACTCACTTTTTACCACGATTCATTTTTTCTTGTTTGCTCCAAATGAGTTAGTGTCGAGAAAGCATTTGTTTTGACTGTAGTTTCAGTGGCCTTAATCAAACGACTAAACATCCTGACTCCAATGTTTCAAACACTCCTTCATTTACAAATGTTTTGTGCAAATCACTGGTTATTATTTAACTCTGAACGGATTTAGTGAATAAATAGTTTTTAAAGTCCTGTGTGGTTATTGGTGCTTTTTTTACGTCTGGAGTTGTTTTTAAACGGTTCTTCTCTAAATGTATTTGTGAACTGACGGACTGGTGACTAGTTCAGGATGTACCCTGCCTGAAACCCACTCCTTAAGACCTTGAACAGGACCGTAAAGGTGTAGAAAGTTGGATGTATCGATGGTGCAGTTGATTAAATTGCCACTAGACACTGCAGTTGTTTTCTTAAGTTCATGAGGCTGACGGTAACATCCTTTTTCTTTACCCACTTTTCTATTTAGGGTTGCAGTGGAACTGATGCCTACAGCAATTACAAAAAAACATTCTCACTCTCACTTATTGATTAGCACTACAAAGATAATGTTATTAACTCTGGATGTTCTCAAACAGGACGCTCAACTCGACAGGACTAGTTGCCATAGCTACTGACAACGAGGCTAATGTAACTGAATACTAACGTTAGCTTGCTACTTGAGAGACGTAGCAGGTTGGAGGATCGAAGAGAGTTGATTGTTGATTTATTTTTTTTACAAATCAAAGTAAACTTGCCATGCTCTTTTCAACAAAATACGCTGCACAGTACTGCTCGCTGCTTCTCTGTGATGAAGGTCAAAAGTGAAACCTCAACAGTCCTGACTTGAAGGTAGTCTTCATGCCCCCTCTGCTGGATACTTTGTACAATTATAGCTGGTTCCAGCATTTTAGGGCTGAGATTTAGAAGAGTTCTATCAGCACGTAATGGGACAATTATCACCGATACCAATATGTCCCCAAACGCCAATATCGGACTAAATGTGGTATATAAATAAATCTGACTTGACTAAATTATTGGCTAAGAGGAACTTCTAAAACGTGCAGAATCGTGGCCCTTGAGGACCTGGATTGGACGCCCCTGTCCTATAGAAATGTTGTAGAGAAAAAATAAGCATTTCTAACACAGAGAAGATGAAATTTCAGTTTTATGTCCGTTCACCGTCTATACCATGGGTCTTCAACTAAAACTCACTCGGGTCCAGTTACTAATTTTTCCTCCCAGTAAAAGGTCAGAACGAAAGTCCAACGTTTGTCTTTTATGGTCTTGCCTACCCGTGTTCACATTTTCACTGTTAACAAACTGCACTATAGTAAACAACTATCTCTTTGACCACATTTAAAGGTAGTCCCAGACAAATACATTTAAGGCCTTTATTTCAGATAAAACAGAGCTCAGAATAAAATACATCTTAAATGTGCAAACAGCCTAATGAGCCTTTTTCTCTTAAAGTGAAGAGCTCCAAGAAGTGAAGGCTTACACTTGAAGTAAAAAGTTAACATCTTTAGAAAACAATTTACAAAGTGGCTCTTTTAGTATAAAGTGTAAACGGAGCAAGTAAAGATTTTATTTTTTTTTTTTTTCCTTTGAGGCACCAAGCTATAAAAAATAAAGTTTTCAAATAAAACACGTCATCATCTTCAGAAAACAATAAAGCAAAATCAACAAAGTCCATGCTCAATAATCCAGGTAGACAATCCAACATTTTTCAGTCAGGCCATCTGGACAGTTTCTTTTTTTTTTCTGAAACGTTTCAGCTTCCATCCAGAAGGCTTCATCAGTCAAGGAAACACACAACAAAACTGATTCTTCCCTCAACAGCTTACTCCAAAGTGGAACAAACCAGTTATGTTGGTGCCAAGATGGTCTCTTTGGTACGTGCCGGCCCTCTTCCTCATCGACAGTCAAACTGGTTCAAAACCAAAAAAAGTCCATGCTCAATAATCCAGGTATACAGGAATGAGCGAGTGAGAAAGAGATTTAAGGAAAAACCCTCAAAGTGAAGTGAAAACATCACGATCCACTGTTTCTTTGTTTTTTCTGATCCTGCTTCAGTTTCAAATGAAAAATAATCCAAAACAGAAATTTCAAGTCAAAGACGAGACTTTCTTATTCTTATAAAAGGTATGTACAAATTGTGGTATTAGACTGAAATGAAAACAAAAACATGAATAAAAATAAAGTACACAGATTCAGAGTGTAGTAGAATAAACACTGTTTATTAAAAACCCTGAAACTAATACTTGCAGTGTGTAATGTTAATATATACTGTATGCTAGAGCACAGCAGGTACACAGTAGCATAAAAATACAAAGCTTGTGCATGAACGGTCCCAGTTTAACTTAAATTTAAACATTATTCCTGGTGTCTGCTAAGAGTTCTGATTTGATTCCATCAATCTTGAATAAACAGTCGTTTGTTTCGTCCACACTGTGGCACAAGTGAGCTGCGTTAAAAAATCTCAATCTGTTATTATGGAATCATTTATTTGTAGTCATGTTGGGTTTTTTTTCATTTCAGTCTAATACCACAATTTGTACATAACTTTTATATTTTGTATAAAATAATTAAATACTAAAGGTTCTGATCAGTTAATTACTTTTTAGGTCAAGGTTTTTTATTGTCGTTTACACCACATGTGGTACATGAGGTGGAATGAAACTATGTACACAGGGTCCCAGCTCCATGAACAAAAGTACAACTTGTAAAGAAAAACTGTGATAAGATCCAAGACATGAAGTAAATCTGCTAAACTGAAACGATGTGCCAACAAGAGAGCAGATGAGCACGAATGAACACAGCAGCATGAAATGGATCAGCAGCATGAGATCAGCAGCATGGATAATTATTTTAATCTTAGATTAATCATCTCAACATCTTATTTTAATGAACTACTTCAGCAGCCTTTTAAGGAGGAGCTTATTTATAAGACTAGAGCTTAAAGTCTCAACGTTTTAACATGAAGGTGATTATTAATTATTTAATGTAATAAAATCCATAAGAAAGTCTCGTCTTTGACTTGAAATTTCTGTTTGGGATTTTTTTCATTTGAAACTGAAGCAGGATCAGAAAAAACAAAGAAACAGTGGATCGTGATGTTTTCACTTCACTTTGAGGGTTTTTCCTTAAATCTCTTTCACACTCGCTCATTCCTGTGTACCTGGATTATTGAGCATGGACTTTTTTTGGTTTTGAACCAGTTTGACTGTCGATGAGGAAGAGGGCCGGCACAAGAGAGGGGGCGTACCAAAGAGACCATCTTGGCACCACGGTGTCAGAATCTTTAGACCGGTCTAAGAAAAGTGCAGCACAATAATCCTTAGCATCCAGTGCTTCAACAACGTCATTAAGAACCTTCAGTGAAGCAGTGGTTGTGCTGTGTTGTTTCCTGAAACCAGATTGATGTGGAGGTAAGATGTTAAATGAGTCCAGGTCATTTTTGATTTGAGAGTTTATCAGTTTTTCTAGAACCTTGGCTAAAATGCAGAGTTTAGAGATTGGTCCATAGTTGTTCAGTGAGGGGGGGTCACCTCCCTTCAGCAAAGGAAGAACAAAGGCTGTTTTCAAGTGTCTGGATGGAGTTTTGTTTTATGGTAAATGGACTGTACTTACACAATTCAATTCAAAAATACTTTATTAATCCCAGAGGGAAATTATTTGTTGCTGTAACTCATTATCCTCATTTCATTAAGAGATGTTATAGATGCTGATGCTGTAGACAGGAAGGATCTCTTGTAAAGATCCATCCCACAGTGGATCCTAAGAAACTGGCTGCAGATGTCGTCCGATCCGTCCACCCAGACTCTGCTGGCCTCTCAGTTCCCCCAGTCTGTAGGACCGCCAGAACCCTGGGCAGAACTCCTCCCAGAGCGATGGCCAGTCCTCCCAGTAGTCTGCCGAGCTCCTCGTCGCCCACCAGAGTCAGCAAAACAAAGTTGCAGGGGCAAACAGACTTTTTTTTACTTTTAGGGGAAGTGGCTGATCTTCCATTAGTAACTGTGTCAAATAAAGAACTAGGAGCAACAAAATGTTTGAAACGGTTCAGGATCTCGTGCTTATCAGACACAGGAACAGAGTTAAGAAGTTGTGATGGGGATCAGGTGTTTGGGAATAGCCAGAGATTTCCAGAATATTTTAGGATCATTGAGATTTTTGGAAGTCTGAGATTAGAAATTACATTTTGTGGCTTTGATGGAAGTTGTGCATTTATTCCTCATCTGTTGAAAATTCAACCAATCAGTGTCTGAGACAGATGTTCTGGCTGTGGCCCAAAGCTGGTGTCTCCTGTGCAGAAGGTCAGCTAGCTCAGGACTAAACCAGGGGCCGTCTCGTCCTTTCAGTCAAGACTGGTACATATTTAAATAAAAGATTTAAAAAGTCTTTCTGTGTACGGTAAGTATGTGTTTAAATACCAGTATCTCAGTGAAACTTAAAGAGGAGCATTAAACAGAGCGAAGGAGAGAGCACAGGGAGGAAGTGGCTGTTCTTCCTCATATGAGCTCTGCTGAGCACAAGTCATCAAATTTATTTAGAAAGTACATTTAAAAACAGCAGTTGTTAAGAAAAGTGTTTACCAATAAAAATCTATAGTTTTAATTTAATGAATATTTACCGCATTCTACGACTTCTCGTCACATGACCTCGATACGACTTCTTGGTAATATTTACCGGTATTTAAAAAAAATTGGTTACGTAGATGTTTGGTACAGTCCTGTCCAGTGATTATGCTTAGATCTTGAAAAGATAGAAAGGTGCTGTATAAGTACAGTCCGTTTAGTTATTGTGATCTTTTTGAAGGTGTAATAACCATGAGTCGGACACGAAGCTTCATGAAGACTCGTGATGGTCCTGCAGTCTGAGCGTGTGTTTAAGGTCAGCTACATTCTGTGAAACACCGTCCGTGGCTGATTCTTGTACTACAACAAGAAAGTTGCACACAGCTGGAGCAGGCTGGGGCACAGTCTCTGATGGACGTCTAAATAACCGGAGCGTCTTATTTATGTACAAAATTATGATTTATCTCACATTTCGTAGAGACAGGTGCAGTTTAAAGCCCAACAGTTACAGACATTTAAATGAGCTTTGCTCAGAGACGATGTCCCTTCTGGACGGTGTCCAGCAGTTGTGGATGCACAGCAAAGTGTCTACATACAGTGATTTGTGGAAG